TGCCTGCTTCTCCCGTATGAGTCTGGGTCCCTAGAGACTCGCCCAAAACTGGAGCTCAGAGCCTGAGACTCCCTCCTGATTGAAAACGACAACTGTGCCTTCAGCCGCCACCCCGCTCCACATGCACCTCCGCACCTTAGTATTTTACTTCCGCACTGCGCCTCCTCTGAGTCTTGGTATGCTTTTCTCTTTCCTTCTAGTTGTAGAATTTCCACTCAGCCAGCCTTCCTGTGGTTCTGGATGATGTCTGTTCTGTCTTTTAGTTGTATTTTTGAAGTGGTTGTGTGAGGCAGCAATCTTCGGTGTTTACCTATGCCGCCATCTTCCAGACTACCTTTTAAATATATATGTATAGATAGGGTGCCCCCCAAAAATGTGTACACACTTTGAATAGTTATTAGTTCTAATTGATTACATTTGAAAATAAAGAAACATCAATTGAGCTATCAGAAAAAATGTGTATACATTTTTGAGGGGACACCATGTATTTTTATAAAATGTTTATTTGTTCACATTCTGCTTTCTAAAGACCACATTTGGATGATTTGGTTTCTTTATGTTATGCCTCTCCTTAGTATCTTGACTATGCTGACACTACCTAACGATATTTGTTTCTGGAAGATGTGAAAAATGTGGAGAAATGAAAAAGAGAGGAAACTTTCTTGGTAGGAAATTCCTTACAAATTGCTTGTTTATAACAAAAGGATTCAAATCATTTTTTTCCCTAGATACTCATTATTGGGGAGCATGTGTGTGTATTTTCTTGGAAAAAGCTATGATTTAAAAACCTCTTTCCTGACATACTTTATCAAAATTGTACTTAATTATTAAAACGTTCAAAAGCAAATAACAATAAAGAAAAGAAGATACGTATAATCTTTTTTTCAAATGAGATCATTTAAAAATTTTAATAAAATTATATAGGTTTTATACTAGAAACTGAATCTTCAATTCAGCAAGTAATTATTCTTGTTTTGTTTAGGAGGAAGAAAATTGTTACATTGTAAATTTCAAGTTTTATTTCTTCTAAAGAAAATACTTTTTAATGGCAAATGTGCAGCATACTGAAAAATATTTTATCTTATTGATTCAAAGAAAAATAACTTCCAGGTAAAATCTAAATACAGGTAACAATCTTAGTGAAAATTTACCACAAGCCGACTTCTTTTTTAAGGATTTTTGGGACTCTAAATACGAGCTCTGAAGAGGGAATAAAAAGGTCTGAAAGAAAATACAATAGGTTCAAGATAATAGCAGTCAGGAAAAGGATTAAGTTTAGAGATGGTGGTTGAGCTTTGCAATGAAGAAATTTCATTTATATTAATTTAAGGCCATAACTCATAACTTCAATTTAAATTCTACTTTGCCCCTACTAAGTTTGGAAACCATTCAGATATAAAGCCCATGTAAGAAAAGATAATGATCATGCATATGAATATCCATATTTTTAATATCAGCACCAAAATATATATATAACTTTCACTACTCTTTCACTCAAATATGAAATATAGGCTTTATACGGTTTTCAATATGACTTATTTTCAAGTACATTTTTTCACTTATTTTCTAAGTAAAGAAATATACACGAAAAGATTTCATACATAGAAGGACTTCTGAAATGTAGCATTAGTGAAAGAAAGAGATAAACATGATATAAAAGACTTTCACAGAACTGATCATGTCTCTTGATTGAGAGATGCTTGTTTTTTCTTAAAGTTTTGAATAGATTGTCTGGTATCACAAAATGACATGCCATTATATTTAATACTGTGACAATGTCCCAAAGACAAAGTCAGAGATGCAGCATTTTCCTGTACCACATTTAAAGCTGGGGGGGAAAAAAAAGGCACTCCATGGAGAACCCATTGTGCTACTGTGAATACCAGGTGTGGCCATGTGAATACCAAGGTGAGAACAGCAATGCAGGCTTTCATGAGGAATACAGACCAACACATCTGCAGGTGCCTCAGTGGGTCCCGGAATCCACCCAGTGATTACATTGACCTGGTAGTAAAGAGGTCTTCATTCATGCTTTTAATCTTCTGCTCTGGAGATTTTATTTATGAATGTGAACTTAGCTTCAGTACTCATGGGTTTCTAAATTTGGAGATTAGACAGACATTGGAATAGTAATTGGAGAGTCATGTGTGTTTTTAAAAATCCAATGCAATAGCAAATTATTTTGGAATTCTTCTTTACATATTGGCAAGATTTTTTTGAGCTAGGTTTATTTTTAATTTTTTTTTTTGCTATTGCCTTTTATGTTTATGCATTGGTTTATCACGTTAATCAGTTTAGGGATATTGACCAACTCCTTCAAGTACCATTAAAAATGCTCTGTGTTGTATTTTGGTTAAACTCGGATTCCTGGATCTAGGTAAAAACTACCATGAAGTACAAAAGGGTAAAAAATTCTTAGGATATAAGGGTTTGTTTACTGGAGAGCCACAAGTTAGCTCTTCTCAAGATTTTGTTGATCTTTGAAGGTAGCCCCTAGTACAGGATATTAAATCAACTATTTGTGGTGTAAGTATAGTTATTCTGAAAGGCAGTGGAGGGTAGCACAATTTGCCACCCCAAAATAAGCCGCTTTTGCGTATTGATTATTTTAAGGTGTAGCACTTTAAAAACAGCAAATGCAGAGAGAGGCTTTATCTGAACTTCCCTTATCTTCCTAAAGACAGGTCCTTCAAAAGGAACTCAATTGTCATAAATTCCCTCTCCAGGAGTTTCATCAATCAGGGAAAATAAACTCTCATCACAGGAGCGAAGACTGGAAGTCAGTCCATACTTCACCCAGACAAACTTTGTCACAAACACCATTCCTCCCATCTGTCTTCCAAAGGTCCATTAATCTTTCCTAAAAATCATTTATTCTCCTTTAAGGGGCCTGTACTCCCTCATCCCTTTCCCTATTAAGACAACATTGAAGCCTGAATTCTAAACCACCTCTTTGAGCAACTCGTTTTTTTCTAGTATCTCCCAGGTATACATGAATTGTGCATGTTAATAAACTTGTTTTTTTTTTATTTTTCTCTTATTAAACTGTCTTTTATTTGAGGGAGGTCTCAGCTAAGAACTCAGAAGGGTAGAGGGAAAATTATTGTTTCCTCCCTACAGCAGGACACCATAAAAGTTTTAACTATTAAACAATAACATTGCTTATATTAAGTGACAGCCTCTGAAAATTTCATTACCAGTTCTATGTAAAAATGGGAATGGGACAGAAGTAATTTGATGGGAAATCTATGTGTATCTTTATTTACAATCAGATTTCTGAGAATCTGACCCAAATGGCAACTACTAAAATTAAAATATAATTATTCTTGGATTCTTACAGTCCACTAAAGACTACATGCATATGAAATTTCTCTCATCTGGAAGAGTTCAATAGCACACTAGCAGCATTTTTTAATTGCTTTCATTATTATAGTAAAACATACTCATTGTAAAAATCTCAAGCTATTCGAAGGATAAAAAGCAAAAATTAAAAGTCTCTTTACTTAAAAAAAAAACCCTGTAGTTTTACTCCACTTAGATTCAATACTCTTTAGTTTCCTATGCATCCTTCCCAAATTCTTAAATCTTGCAGTAATTTTTAACTCTCCTCAAAAGATATAATTATCTAGTCATGGGCTAAAATGAAAAGAAATTAGTAATGAGTACAACACATTTAAAGTAACAATTAGCAACTTTCTCAGGGAGAATCTTTTTGTTTCTTGTGCATACATAGAGGTAATATGTGTAAATAATTATATAGGAACTAGGGGCCCAGTGCATGAAATTTGTGCATGGGAGGGGGTCCCTCAGCCCGGCCTGCACCCTCTCACAATCTGGGACCCCTTGGGGGATGTCTGACTGCCAGTATAGGCCCGGTCAGGGCCTATACCGGCAGTCGGACATCCCTCTCGCAATCTGGGACCGCTGGCTCCTAACCACTCGCCTGCCTGCCTTCCTGATTGTCCCCAACCACTCTGCCTGCCTGTCTCATCACCCCTAACCACTCTGCTTGTCTGCCTGATGCCCCTAACTTCTTGCCTGCCTGCCTGATTGCCCCTAACTGCCTCTGCCTCGGCCCCTGCCACTGCAGCTTCGTCCAGAAGGATGTTCGGAATTATGTCCAGAAGGCTGTTTGGCTGTCCAGTCTAATTAGCATATTACACTTTTGTTATTATAGATAATATAACTATCACAAATGATCCAAAGTTACTCAAAAGGGAACCTTACAAGTTTCTAGAAAATTACTGCTTACCCCCTGAAGGATTTCTCACTCATATAAGAAAATTTTAAAAAATTATTTTAAATATTAAATTTGAGTGTTTTATATAAATATCTTTATTTTAAACTCTATTTTGGAAAAAGCAACAACAACTGTTTGGGGATTAAATAAAATCCTGGCTGCTTTTAAAACAATTTGTGGAAATCCTGGGTGTTTGATAGATAAATGTTTGCCCACTCAAACCATCTGCATCACAGTTTTAAAAAAAAAAATCACAACAGTAAGTTATAATATTGCACTATTGCAATATAAATAGAGTTGTAGTATTCATTCCAAAATACAGTTTCCCAAAAAGCCAAAGATTTCTGAAGAGCAGTACAACTAGCCCAGACATTAGGAAATCCCTTTAAGAACAAACAAAAAAGTTTATAAAAAGCATTTTTTCATCCTAATGTATGAAGAGCAGGAAAGTAAGGTAAAAAAGAATTATTATGCAGCAGGGGTGAGATTCCAAATCACTTAATTATATCCAATTTATCTTCCTCTGCCATGTATATTAATTTCAAACAGTTCTTCATATTGAAATTAAGGATTTCTCAAAGTTATTAATAACTAATCTGAACACATACATGAATAATAAAATAGTTATTCATAAGTATTTATTGACTTTCTATAGATTACAATGAAATTACCTGAAAATAAAGACAAATTGATAAATGATAACATAACAAATAATTTTATAATGAACCTGACTTCCTGCTAAGAAAAAAAAAAGAGTATTCATTTTTGGCAGGATAAGGAATCTTAGAGGACGCATAGCTCTGGGGGTATTTCCCTATCTTGGTCTACAGGTTTTCTGCAGCAAACACACTTATGATAGCTTTTCCTCCGTTAATTTTACAGAGAACATACTTGAAAGCTATACCCTATGCCTATAAACACATATACGCCCATGCTTCCTCCCTATTCTTCATCACAGACAATCACTAGGAATCACCCGTAGCTGTTTGCTGGAGAACATGTCTACCTGAGCCTTGGTAATACATCCGGTCTCTAGCAACACTCACATGGAGAGATGTGGGAAAATCAACTTATCCAAGTCTTGTTTTGCCTTTGACTTCAAAGGCCTCAGATCTGGAATGAGCTTTGTGGGATACAAAAGGAAGGGAAGGATTTGGCCAAGAGAACAGAAGAGTGAGATCAAAGTACAAAGCTGTGAGAAAGCCTGAAAAACTCTTCATTGCACTTCAGGGCCACTGGCTCTGCACGTAGAACAAAACCAAAGTCACCCAGACTTGTCAACTGAGTGAAGAAGCCAATGAGGGTAAAGATGGCATTTTAAATGTTTTAATAGAATGGTTGAACTTATTTAAGCATGAGGAATTTTTTCTCTTGATCCAAAGCCAAAGTAAACTGGTGTATATTTTTGAATACTGCAAATTCTTATTTGCCATTAATTTTGAATGTGGAGAGTAACAATTCAAGTATGCTCGGGGTAAAAAAAATAAAAATCAATATAGTGCTTATTTGAATTCTAAAAATAAACCAACCTTTTACATATATAAAAGTATAGTCTACCTTCTTTGTACTATATGTATTTATTTTTCCAGTAATGCCACTGTCATTCAAATATTTTTTGAATTCTCTTTATAATGAAATTGGGACCTCTGAAGAAAATTTTCCCAAATTTTGACAGGTTTTTAGTGGAAATATTTTGTTCTGGCCGCAGACTAATATATCTCCCTCATGTGATTTTTTTTTAATTTTTAAATATAGATATAAAAATAAATAAAATAAAATCACCTACAATTCCTTTACCACATTAAACTTTTAATATCTATTCTTCCAGAATGTTTCTATGAATCTGTCATGTGGTGATAATATTTTACAAAATGGTATCATTCTATATATGCTATATTTTACTTATTATATATGTTATATATAATGCATATATACCTATATATTTAATTATAACATACGAAGCAGCACTGGGATAATTCTTAGTCTGTTATAGAACAAAATGGGTGCTGAACAGGAAGTGAAAGGGCTGTCAGGAACATCACGCAGCCAACTTGGGGAAAATGGGGAGTTACTAAAGAAAGGGAGGTAGGACAGAACGGAGTGTTTGAAGATAAATACTTGGCCGGCTAGGGTGGACTAGAGAGGAGAGGCAAGGTGCCTTGGCTCAAGACTAAACTCTTGCCAGAGGCTATAATTAATTTTAATCATTTTAAGAGCCATTTTGCTAAATTACCTTTTGGTTTTTGCTTCACTACTTTTCATAAGTAGTGCTGACTCATCAAGGTTAATTCCACCCTTGGAGTTTTCTGATTTTTTCCTCCTAAATGAACAAGTTAACATCATACAAAGGAGCTTAATATCTTAAAATAATCCCTCTACTGAAAGGAAGCAGCGCAAGCTTGCCAAAGTCCACGCTAACTGGGGTAATTGCATCTCATCCCCTAGTATTTTGAGCATAATAATCACCAGCTCCACCTCATCCTGCCTCCGTGACAGCCAGAGGGAAACACATTATAGGAAAATCACTCCCAGTAGTTATAATGGATTCAAAAGCAGGACAGAAACATCATGACTAATTACAACAACAACAAGAAAAAGATAATTAGGTGAGAGAGAGAGACAGAGAGGTATTTGTTTATCTAAGCTTATTGAAGTATAGTACTGGACCAAAACTTTTTTGGGTTAGTTGCCATCAATAATTGAGAGAATGAGAAGATGTCTATTTAAGACTGAATGCTAAGCAGGTGAAGACTAAATTAAGTCATGATGAATTGCTATTATTGGTCCAGTGTCTTTATGTTGCCTGGATAGTCACTGGGAATATATGCAAACAAATGGACTTAATAATTTATACAGTCTATATATATAAAAGGCTAAGTGACCATCCAACTGTCTGACCATCCAGTAGCTATGATGTGCATTGACCACCAGGGGGGCAGACGCTCAACACAGGAGCTGACAAGCTGTGGTCACTTGGCAGCGGCGGTTCTTGGGTGATGCACCCCAGAACCAAAGAGGAGGGAGCCCGATTCCTTGCAATTCCTCTTACATTCTGGGACCCCTCGGGAGATGTTGGAGAACCAGTTTTGGCCCAATCCCTGCAGGCCAGGCCAAGGGACCCCACCTGCCAGAGGGACCCCGCTCACTTGGCCGGCTGGGGAAGGATCATGGGAGGTTGGCTTCAGGGCATGTCCGCCCATCTTGCCCAGTCCTGCCCCTACTGCCACCACCCGGGACCGCCTGCATTAGTCCCTGCACCGGAGGGACTAATTTCCTTTCAATGTGCACAAATCCATGTATTGGGACACTAGTTCTCAATAATTCTATTGGCCATGAGGGTGAAATCTGATGTATTCAAACTCAAAGTCATTTATGTGAAATTGCTTCACTAAAAATTATCTATTGAAGTCATGTTAAATGGTCTGGCCATTGATTTGCATTGACCATCTTTAACTTCTATATATTAAAGTTCATTTAATATGTTTTTTATAATAGTTACTGCAAATTCAGTAGCCTCTTTCTTCAAAATTTGGCACCTTAAATTCCATTTACATCAATGTTGTTCCCAACTGAAAGGAAAAAAAATATTATAATTCACTTAATAAAATGCATTTCCTTTAAAAAGATTCATTGTCCTTTTCATGTGCACAAACTTGAACTTTAAAAAAATCTCCATATCAAAAAAACCTTAATTCTTTTTATGTGAATTTAAGGGTTTGAATCATAAACCCAGGAGGAAAACAAAGATAAGACCAGCTAAGTAAATATACCATCCCAAAGCAGTTAAAAAGGCAATTTCATTTTTACTCTTTCTTGCTATAAAATTTTCTTCATACCATTTGATCTGAGAAAACTTTCTGAATTCTAGGCTCAATATAGAAATGAGTTATTGCAAGCACTAAAACAAAGACATGACTTAGAAAGAAAGGGTTTCCATTCCAAAAATTCCTGCTATGCTTGTCCTTCGGTGGCATTAGACTTTCTATAACTTTAGAAAATAAACATGCTACAAACTGTCCTCAAAACTAATTTTAATGAATGAATTTGATACAGGATATAATATGATACATAAGCCTAATGTTATCCCTGCAGACCTTTTATTGAACTATCTTATGTCAAGTCTAAATACAGTATATAGAGAGAATTAAAGGTCTCAAGTAATCTCAAGAGAAGGCAATTACTTCCATGTTGAGTACCATTCACATGTTAAAATTATAGACACCCAAATGCAAAAGAAAGAAATTAGATACCTACCTTATACCGTTCTGAAAAAAATCACTCAAATTGGATCATAGTCTTAACTGCAAAAGCACAAGTGACAAAGTCAAAAAAATAAATTAGATTTCATCAAATTTAAAAGCGTTTTTGCTGCATTAGAATATCATGAAGAAAGAGAAAAACAATACACAGAATGAGAGAAAATGTTTTTTAAATCAATCTGATAAAGGTCTAATATCCAGAAAGAAATGGAAAAAACACACACACACTCCTGCAACTTAATCTAAATAAAGATAAACATCCCAATTAAAACGGGTATTCATTTTAATGGGCATTTCTCCTAAAAAGATATACAAGGTGCTAAGAACATGAAAAGATGTTCACCATCATGTGTCACTAGGGAAATGAAGTTAAAACCATAATGAGATAGCATTTCACAAGCACTAGGTTAGCTATTATTTTTAAAAAAGGCAGACAATGAGTTTTTCATGAGGCTGTAGAGAAGTTGGAACTCTCATACCCTGTTGGTGAGAATGTAAAATGGTGCAGCCACTTTGAAAAATAATGCATCAAAATGTTAAACATAGAGTTACCGTGTGACCCAACAATTCAACTCCTAGATAATAAATCCAAGGAAATTGAAAACATCTGTTCACGTGCACATAAATGTCTACCACAGCATTATTCATAATAGCCAAAAAGCTGAAACAGCCCAAATGTCCAAAAATTGGTGAATGAACAAACTGAATATGACATATTTATATCCATACAATGAAATAACATTGGTCAACAAAAAGAATGTATTAGTAATGCTCCAACATGTATCAACCTCAAAAAGATCATGCAAATCAAAGAGGCCAGATACTAAATGATTCCATTCACAGAAAGTGTACAGAACTGACCAACCTATAAAGACAGAAAATAAATTAGTGGTTATCTAGAGCTGGGCAGCAGTACCGGAGAGGGAAAGAAAGGTGGGCTAGTGGGAAGTGACTGTTAAAGTGCATACATAAGCCTTTGGGGGGGGATGATGAAAATGTTCTAAAATTTGATTTGGTGATGGTTGCACAATTGTGAAAATACACTAAAAACCATTGAATTGTGCATGTTAAATTGTGAAGTCTATACATTTAAATTATATCTCAATAAAACTGTTTTTTAAGGCATGCCTTTAAAAAGAAACTATGCAGAACAAATTATATCTTCAAGCCCTGCCTCTGAGACTGTATTCTCAATCATATGATGTTGCATACGTAGAATTCAATTTGATTATATATCTGGTCCTTAAAATTTTTTACTTCATCCTACACAAATCATTCTGCTATTCAACTACCAAGCAGAACTAAACTCCTTTGCTAAGGACACACACAAAAAAGCCACATTTATTCCTAAAGTAGGTGCCAAGAACATTGTTGGAGGGGAAGTAAAAGAAGACTAATGATGCTAGAAGCCAGCGGGTATCATGGTTGAAGGGAGTGCGGTGACCTTTCTGAATCACTGTAGTGGCATCCTGCAGAGACTTGGGGTTGGATTAGTGAACATTTTGGAATATACTAGCCCAGTCCTTCAGACACGTGTGCTGATCATCTTGCTGGTCCCAGTTGGCACACTGGTCTCAAGCCCACAACTGGGTCCAGGTAGGTCAGGACATGGCTGATAGACCATTGCTTTGGCCACATGGGAAACGAAGGGTTTTATGGCAGAAATCCAACGGGAGGAGGACAGTAGGCAGACAGACTGGTCCAGGAACCCAGAGTATGTCAGGAGGGTGGAGCAAAGCACTCTGTGGTCTCGGTCGCTTTGATTTGCTTTCCAGTCCCAATTCCCAAGGATTCAGTCTGCCACCTGTGACAGGGAGTAGACTGGGAGTAGAAACTGAAGAAAACAGATCTCTTCCCCAAACATGTCTTTACTTTCCTCATCCAGGCATTTCTAGCCTCAAAATAAAGTGTAGAACGGTATATACAACACACCATCATTTGTGTGAAGAGTAAATATTTTTGTATTTGCTTGTATATACATAGAATAACTCTAAAAGAAAAAAAAACTATATTTATCTGAAAAACAAAAAATAATCAACTGAAAAACTATGAGAAGCCATAAGTAGCTTACTAATTAAGCTACTTAAAAAATTAGTTCACAAAAATCAATAGCTTTTCTATACTGAAATATATATGTCCATATATGCAATACAAAAGAAGGGATGTTAGCATTTGAGAAAACATCACAACTCTGAAACAATAGAAATAACAGGTAAAATATTCTAAAACAGGGTCTAGGGTAAAGAGAACTTGAAAATTCTAATAAGGAAAAAATAAATAGAAATACATCTTGTTCTTGGATACAAAGACACAATATTGTAAAGATGGCAGATCTCTCTGAATTAATTAATAAATTCAATGTGATTACCCACAAAATTACAAATAAAATTTTATATTTTGGAACTTCATAAGAATTCTATGGGGAAAATAGAAATGAAAAATATGGAAATATAAGCATGCTGGGATAGATATAATAGACATAAAAAAACAGCAGTGATGGAAAACTAGGCCCTTATGTATTTAAAACATACATTAAAACATGCTTCAGGAACAAACAGCTCATCAGGGTAGAACCCCAAAATAGAGCAAAATGCATGTGATAATTTAGTATATGATAAGGATGGCTTTACAAATAAGCTAGAACAGGCTGGATTAATCAATTAGCTAGTTATCTGTGGGAGGAAATAAGATCATTATATAAAAATAAATTCCAAATATATAAAATATTTCAAAATAAAATATGAAACCAAAAAACAATGGGCACTTAGGAAAAGAACTTAAACTGGGGATCGAGCTGGGAGCCTGGGCATGTGCTCTTGACCTAACTCAAACCCAGAACCTTCAGTCCACAGGCTGATGCTCTATCCACTGACCCATACTAGCTGGGTTTTTAAGTTTGGGCCTAATAAGAGACCCTCTCTCCTCACCTACTTGATTAATTCCACGTCTGGGCTGGGTGTGGCCTTTCATCAATGCCACTGTCATCCTAGACTGGGTTCATAAATGCTCATAAAGTGTCTTGTTCTATCTAGTACTGCCTCATCAAATCTCTCCAAGACTAAACCTAAAAGAAACAGATGCAACACAAAGAGAAGACTCATAGAATTAGCAAATAATGTCTTAATAGTGTTTGTTTCATTTCCAATAGTTTGGGTGGGATTTTTCTTACTATCCAATGTAAGGGGTTTGGGGAACCCCATATCCCAGATATAACATTGAGTCCAAAGAGATTAAAAAGGAAATACATTATAATTAAGGGTACAATTGCAAAGGACAATCTAAATTTATTTCAACAGATTTATTTGAATATCTGCATGAAAGTATGCTGCACACATCTGTATTTACCCTGTGGCCTTTGCTCATGTTTCTCTTCTGTTTTTGTATTTTGCTTCCCAAGCAACATTGATTAAGTATTAAGCAAGATCAGAGAGGAAGTTTAAACAATAATGATTGTTACTCAGAGATACTTCAAGTCAAAGCATGTCCTACAGAACACACAATAAATTTTGGAAGTCTGATGTACAAACCTTGTTAGCTTACATTACTGGAATTAGTCCTCTTCTCCAATTCCATTCTGTTTACTAGTGTATAAATCAGGATTCCAACAGGAAACAGATGGTGCACTCAAATTAGGATAATTTGAGGAGGGTTATTTACAAAGGGACTATTTACAGAAGTGTGGGTATCAGAGAGTCACAAAGGATAGTGTGAGAATGCTGAGCTGGTCACAAGTTGACACCCTGTGTCCATAAGGACTTGAGAAGGAGTAGTCATTGGATGGGGCAGACGAGAGTCACACAGAGACACTCCCCTTAAAAGGATGAGCGACCTTCCAAGGAGAGTACAGCCAGCCCCAGAGCATCTGTCAGGGAGGTCACTCGCTTCCTGTCTCCTGTTCAACAACCCAACAGAAGGCATAGAGGGAGTGGCAGCTCTAATGGCCTCAGTCACCAGTGCCACTTGAGGATACCTCTCCAAAAGGTATCAAGGAGAGTAAATACTTCTGGTTCTCCTGCCGGGATTCCCTACAGGGATTTTCCGATGGCCAAACCTAACCAAGAGCCAGAAGGCACAGCGCCAGTTGATAAAGTATAAATGAGTCAACTTCCTGGGGCAAAGATCAAGATAGAAAAAGGAGGCCTAATAACATACTCAACACATATGATTAAATTCCTGTGCCTACACATGCTCCGTAACACACAAATATACTTACATGTATAACTTGAAAAACACTCAGAAAATAATTTTCCCTGAAAATTTGTACCTTATTGATGTCTTTCATGTTCAAAATTTCCACCATCTGATACTTCAGAGATGTAATACTGCTGAAAATCTAATGTTGGATAGCGCTGGTAGTGAAATGGAAAGGAAAAAAGGAACTAATATTTTTTAATACAAGCCCCCCCCTACATAGCCTATCTCATTTATTCTTAAAAATAACCCTATGAGTTATCAGTTATCATCCACATCTTAAAGATAAATTGAGACTTGAGTAGTTCAAGTAATTTTTCCAAATTTACTCAGAGAATACAAGGTGAATCACTGAACCCAGGCCTGTCTGATTCTAAAGTCCATTCAATTCATCCATCACCACATTGCTATTGAGCACTTTAATCCAAAACAGGTTAACATTTTCCTAGCAGAAAGTAGGAAGAGTAAGAGCCAATTGAAGATATAAAAGGGGAAGATTAATTATACAGAATCTAATGTCTATCTGGTAGAATATTAAAGGGGAAATCCTAGAGGTTAAGGAAGTGGGTTAGTTAGGAAGGAGCTTCATGTCTAAGGAGAAAGGGAAATAGATTCAATACAATCTTTGAGTTCTTCCCACTCCCCTCTCTTGCTGGGACAGCCCTGCCATTTTTCAGAGCCTACGGACTTTGCACCTGAGATTTCCACCTTTCCACAGAGGAAGCATTTTATTATGTCGGCAATGATGCAATGCCTCACCCAAAGTAATACTTTCACCAGCCTCCCAGATTCCCCTGTTCCTACTTGCTGTAGGACAGCTGTGAGCAATGGTCAATTGATTGTAAGTTCACTACAA